GAAAATAAAATTCAGCATAAAAATAAAATGCAATCACAACATACAAGGTACTTACACATTGCAATGCCGACCTGCTTGCCCGAGCCGTCAAACTGACAGCTCGTTCAAGAGGTGCCATTTACCTGGTTGCTATCCTTTTTATTCCGTTAAACCACAAACCACATGATGACGATCAGATCATTCCCAGAACAGATGTTGACACGTGTCGGTGCCCTCTCCCTGGTACTTCTTTTCTCATCAACAAATTTGTAATTTCCTTCACTTTGTAAGTTCCTCTTATTCCCCGTAAATGCCCCCACAGGTCATATTTCAGTTATTTTGGCCTTATTAAATGCCCTCAAAACTTACATTAAAACATATAAAAAGGCTACTAATAATTTTCCCCTCACACCTGTATTGCTGAGGAGACTGACAGGATGCACAAAGGATTAACAATTACTTTAACTCCCACCCAAGAATTACACTTAACTGCTGCTGCTTTTTTAAAACAGGACATAATGCAGCCTTGAATAATTATTTATGCAATATCTAAACTTAAAGCAATTCTGCACAGCAGTCTAAGCTGCTTGGTTGCCATGCTGCTTCCTGAGGCTGTCTTTAAAAATTCCCATCCAGATTGCAGTGGTTTGGCAATGGAGCCAGGTTAGTGCTCAGTTTGGACTATGGCCACCAGAGACCCTCATTGCCCTGCTTTTTGCCTTTCCCATTCATGCATGGAAGGCAGATCTCATAGAAGGGGCAGATCTATAACTGCCTGCCTTTTTTAAAGAACAGTTCCCTCTTCACTAGTCCTCCTTCTTTTTCTTGGCTTTCCCAAGTTTGCAGACATGGAAGTCTTCACACTTCCTTCCCACATTCTCTCCTTTGACACCTGTGCAGATCCTTCCCCCTGCCTTTATTGCACAGTCATTACTTTGATGCTACAGTGATCAACCAAAGAGAACAAGTTGTTCTTTGGTTTCCTTGTCCTACTGTGGGTCTACAGAAACTTTGTGGCAATGAGGAACGAATGGTTCAGCTTCATAGAAGCAAAGCAGAATTGCTTCAAATATTATAGCATTCCAGTACAGTATGCTTCATCCAGCTTGGGGAAAAACCAAAAGGGCCCCGAGATGAAAGGATGCAATGGAAGTGTACTGACAAAAAAGGTGGAGAAAATATGGTGGCTGGAACACTTTACTGGATTTCATGGACTTTATAGATCAAATGGAAGGGGAAAAAAGGATGTTGCTGGCCAGTTGAGAACACAGCAGCCCAGGATGAAGTGGGCTAATAGGGCAGTGACTAACCATTGGAGGGAAAGGGGTATGTCAGGTATTGTAGCCAAGTGGATCTGGGGATGTCTCTAGATTGCAAAGGCAGACTAACTGCTCACAAGCACTTAGGATAGAAAGTGTTATTTTTGAAGCAGAACTTCCAAACATGAGCAAGGAGTGCATTTGCAGTAGGTTGGGAGTAGATGGAGGATGGCATTGGCTGATCCTGCACTCAAGAAACAGTGGGTAGCCTGTACTGGCAAACAGGCAAGCAGAAAATGAGGATCTGGCCCTAGAGTTGATGTTCAGTTCCTGTTTGTATGAAAAAATGCTATCATATTTATTCTATTTGTTTAATAACATCTTTATCATTCAATAGCAATACATTCAGGAATTATTTACAAGAAGTATTTATATTAATCTCTTGTAAGGTTGTAATTTACAATGCATAAAGTAGAAAAGAAGGCATATTCATGGTGGGAAAATTTTTAAAATGCTGAATTATCACTAAATTAAATCTGTACATATAATCCTGCAAAATATTGCATATTTGAGAGCATAATTTATATATGAGGGTGTTAAAATTTGGAAAGGGATCCACGGGTTTGTTCATCTCTCCAGTTATACAATTCACTGACCTGGTGTACAAATGCCCAAAATAATTATGTATTTCTTCTGGAGGGGTCTATGCTAAATCATATAGATTCAATAATGCTAAATGTTCTCCAATTTAACAATTTAAAACTACTTACATATATACCTCTCCCACCCAAGCTTTCTACAAGAACTCCTTAAATTATGGACAATATTAGTCTCTTGTAAAAGAGCAATTCCTATTTTTTTAAAGCTTAGGTAAGATTTATCTATGTAAGCCCCTTAACATTCCACATTATAAGAAAAACTGATGTGAAAAATAATTAACACTCATTTTATGAATTAGTATCAATTATTTTTGCAACCCTTTGGAATAGAGCTTGAATGTTCTGTTATGGTAAACCAGTAGAAGGTTGCTTTAAAAAATGAATGTAGTCTCTTTTGACTAATAATTAGGTTAATTCAACAGAAACTTGTTCCATATATATTGGTTCCCTCAGTTGTGTCCTTTAGTAAGAAAGCCTTTATAAGAGTTTTGGGATTTGGGTAATATATAAATGTAATAAATACAAAAATAATATTTAATTGCATTTCCAATATTTGATTTTTAGAAATATAATTCAAGAGGTCAAATATTAATTCACATGGTTTGGGCTTATCCTACTACTGCCAGATTCTGGGCTGAAATTCAAATTTAACAAATTAACATGATTTTAAATAGAGATGCAAACATTTCTCTTGGCTATATCCTCAGTATTTGTAATCTATGAAGGCTGATAAACTCTTTGCATATAAACAATGAAGGCCTTGTTTTTCTTTTCTGTAACATATCACATTTAATCACAAATATATGTATACAATTTTTGCTAGTTTGTGTGATATAGTAAAATTATATCAGCATAAAACTTTATTAGGCACAAATTATCTTATACGTCACTTAAGATTCAAGCGTGCATGGCAAATTCAGAATTTTTTTATAGTTTAGCATCCAGAAGTTAATTCTGGGAAACAAAATAATGTAAACTATTAAGCAGATATTAGAAATCCCCATCAACCATCTATGCTTACCACCAATATTTGCAATAGATTCTGGTCCAACAAGCTGGTTTTCAAATAGTCTTTCTGCTTGTTGTAGCTTAACGTTTGGCTCTAAAGCACCAGTAAGAAGAGGAGGTTCTTTGAAGCTGTCAAGAAGGAAGGTTTTCATCAGCATACAGAATAGATTAATATAAAATAATGTTTCAATTTACCAAGTAACTTGGATGTATCAGACATTTTTCAAAACAGCATAGTTCAATTTACCCAAAGCAACTTATGCAGCTATTAATTTCATATTTGGCAATAGTTTCCATCAGCTTAAAGATCAGGCCAATTAAGTGAGCTAACAATTTGAAGCAAATCTCTACAGGAGGCTCCTTAGCTGTTAGTAACTGAACTACTGGTTGATTACATATCAACCCTGGAGAATGAGGTCTGTTCCAGTTAACAGAAGCATAAAGAATTTTACACATGTGGCATATTTTCTAGTCTTAATATATATTAAGACACATCCAGGTCTGTGTGTATGGAACTTATCTTCATAATTAGCATGCATCACTATCAAAAACTTTTATCAAACTCCGCCACAGCTCCCAATTAGGAACAAACATAAACCATCCAAAGTAAATGCTGTTTGATAAGCACTTTACTCTTTTCAAATAATCTAAAAAATCCAGATTTCACATAGCATTTTATATCTACAACCAAACAGGACTCAAATGAAACTAGTTTGGAATCTAGCAAATCATGCCCATCCGAAAACTGGACCTTTAACAGAGGTATTTCTTTAACTTGTTTTTGTTTACAGTCAATGTATTGAGAGATTTGCAACATGCTCAAATGTTTATTCTTGAAGGGGAAGGTTTGGAGGTATTAGCATGCTTGATTAGTGTTAAAATTAGTGAGGTTTTTGATGGCTTCAGAGTGTTGGATGATCCCCCACACACCCTCCCCAACTTGCACAGCACTTCTTGCATACCCGACCCACATGGCACCTCTCACGCATTCCCTTGCACCTCCATGCACCTCCCCACCCCTTCCTCACACCCCTGCCCACCCCACTGCTCCCTCCCTCACCCAGCAGCAGCCACTTACCTGCCTGCCGGCCTGGGACTTGCCACTTCCTGCCGGCTTCCCCACTGACTTGGGCTGTGGAAAGCTGGCAGGAAGTTGCCTCGCCTAATGACTGTCGGATTTGGTTAATGACAGCAACCAGGATTGCAGGGATTGCCATTGCTAAGCGATGTGGTCATCCTTTATGACTGTATCACTTAGCAATGGAAATTCTGGTCTCAATAGCTATCATAAGTCAAGGACTACTTGTATGGGCTTAAAGAATGGCTACTGAATACAAGCAGTGCAGGACGGAAGTAGAGTGGAATGCTTAGCAAATGGTTCAAAATTGAGCAGAAAATAAGATGAAAAGGAGAGGTGGCTCCTGTATGGTTTAATGTATTAATGGATAAACGAATTCATGGATAAATGTATAGGAAATGCTTCCTATCAGAGATGTGTGGTTGGGGAGATGAATATCTATTTTAAAATGGCAGGATGAGGGTTAGGGATCCTGTGTTGCTGGCTGAGAACCTGAATCAACTGCAGTGAATGCTAGATAGATCTGAAGAAGGTAGTTGTGTTTGGCAGTGAAAATAGAACAATTGCAAATTATACATAAATAGCAAAACACTAGAACTATATGAATTTATGTACTGTATGTTGGTAAAATATTTACTAAAGATGAGAAAATGGATGGGGAAGTAGTAAAATGAAATTTAAAATGCTAAAGATAATGTGTAATATGTGGTCTATACTGAGGAATGGATGTTTATTAAAAGAAGCAAAAATGACTGCATATAAGACTGTGCTTCCTCCCACTTTGTTATCTGGAAGGCTAGATATGTCAGAAGAAACATAAATTGAATGCAATGGGAATAGGAATGTAGTATTTAAGAAGTGTATATGGTAAAACACGATGAGGTAGGGTCAAGATACTGGATGAATGTGGACTGAATACAAAAGTAAGTGACCAATACAAAATAAATATGTTGAGATGGTTTGGTCATTTGTAGAAAATTAAGAATGAATTACAAATTAAATGCATGAAGAATGAATTGGTCTAGAGAAATAGGAAAACCGAGAAAGTTGTAATTGGATAGAGCTGAATAAGAGAGAGGTGAGAAATCTAAAGAACAAAGACAATGTATGAAGCACTATACAGGTGTGCTAGGAGCAAAGATAGTTTGCAAAGATAAAAATGTATGGAGATGTAGAGTGAATGGAAATTTAAACTAGGTTTAGATATATTTTCTTCTGTTTTTTTCTCATCTCATGTTTTTAATCTGATTTATTATTTCTTACTCCTTTTCTGCATTTTGTTACTTACCTCAAAAAAGAATAGCATCATGATGTTATTACGCATGTATGTTCTGATGTGATCTATTTGATCTATTAAGTTTCATATCCCCTTTTCAGACTATGGGACTTTAGGGAGCAGTTACAATGAAGAACAAGTATTTTCCATATGGGTAATGAGCCCTCCATTCTTTCTGCAGGTGCAGTTATCACATGCTAATTTTTTAATACAGCAGTAGTAAAATATTACAACAGAGAAAATTCATCCACACACAGCACACATTAGGACTATGATTTGAAACAACATGGTTAAGAAAAATTACAACTTTTAAAATTAAATATATTGTATCTATTAAATGAAATGTTTAGGAGCACAGAAGTAGGAAACAAAAGCAGTATAAGGCACCATAAATTCATCTGTTAATTTGAAAGATACAAAATGAATGTCTTTTCATTTCTGCACAACCACAAGTAATTGCACAACAGTTTTTCAAAACAGTTGATTATAGCACTCATAAAACTAAAAAGCCAACATAACAAGGTCCTCAGTGAAAGTTTAAGCCACATGCAAAATTCTGATATTAAGCATACTTATGTACTCACCTAATGGGCAGAGGGTCTATTGGACAATCCAGAAACATGATTGCTCCAAATAACGGAATAATTAATGACACAGCTAAAGTCATGAAAGTTACACGAAATACCCTGTTGCTGTAAGTACTGCAAAAACGAACAAAACCATAAATTAGAACATGAATATATAACAACAGATCAGAATATAAGAAGAGTCCAGGTGGATCAGGCCAGTAACTATTCTAGTCATTTGTGTCATTCAGTAGCTAACAAGATGCACTCAGGATGCTCAAAAAGACGGATAATAGGAAGATAGCCCTCTTCCAGTATTGCTCACTAATCAAGTATTTAAACTATGCTCTCTGTAATTCCAAAACCAGTGAACAGCCATCAAGACTGCTGTAGTAGCCATTAATAGTTTAATCTACCAGTTCTTTAAACCATCTTTCTAGCACTCTCAAATACATTTCAATAAACCACCCTACCAATTTCAGGCCAAGATTAAACTTTTTGTCAACAAGTAAATTTCTATTATGCAAACATGCATTAGAATTTGCAGCTGTGCATGTTTATTTTTCCAGATGAGCACAAGAATTATCTCAAAATATGCTGAGTAGGAATTCTGGGAGATGAAATGTAATCCATTTAGAGAGCATCAGGTTGGGAAAGGTTGCTTTATAAATTACATATTTTATTGTTTCAATTCAAACCTCATTACGGATGTTAAAAAGAGCATAAGGATAAATAAGTGGGAGAAACAGAAATTCTGTGGATGAAATCAGCTTAAATCTCACCCTTCCAAGGTGAAGGTTCCAACAGTGATTTCAAGCAAGCTTTTTAAATACCAACAATAATTAGTAAAAGGAAAAATAAGTAAATGAAATATCCAAATCCTACTTGAAACGTTATCTTCTGGGCCTCTAGACACTGTATGGTCAGAAAGCTTTCCTCCTTAGTCATATAAGTAAAACAAATTTCTTAAATATATAACTTCAGTGCTAAGGCATGGAGGTACTACAATGATACCCTGGGAGCTAGTTTGGTATAGGGGTATAGTTGGTTTTTGTAGCTCACAGAGAAAAATGCAGGCCTACTCTGGTTAAAGGATAATAAAACTGCAAGAATTTGAAATACAATTAAACCATATTGTTGAAATATGTGTAAGATGCAAGATGGACAACCTGAGGCCTCAGAACCACACCTGTGTCTCAAATTCTCTTTTTGCAACTCTTAGAGACCACTCTATCATGGTTGCTGAAAACTGACAGCTGCCATTTTCAGGTATAACATGTGTGAAAACTTCCTGGATTCATCAAGCAAGCATTCCTGCCCAACATGAAAACAATTTATAAAACCTCTGTTACAACATTTATAAATCAGTAGAGTATCTTATTTCACAAACACCCACCAGACGGATTTAGGAAGTTCAGTTTAGACAGAGGTATATACATGGAACAGGCACCACATTTCTAATGTTCTATCAGTGTAGAAGATGGATACAAGCTTTATGATACAATAGCTTCAATATTAGCTAGTATTACAGAAAAGTTACAAAGTTTTCAGCATTTCTCTTAAGAAGCATGTTTATATATGGTTCTTGGCTGTCTCTGAGTGGATTATGAAAGATAACTTTGAGCAAACTACTTTCCCAGTTAAGCTTTCCTCACTTGGGGTCTAGGTTAAAATGGATACAGTATATTGAATCCATTAGATTTTACATTTAAAAATATTGCTTTCACAATATGGAATCCCCAAACAGGATGAAGACTGTCAGAACAGGATGCGTATAAAATTTCATTCTCAAAAAATATGGCTGAAATTCTATGCATACTTACTTGTAAATAACCCCCATTTTATTTCCACATAAACCAACCAAGATTGGCATATGAAGTTATCACTTAATGCCTGCATTAGTTCCCAAGAATAACAGAAAAAGGGGGGGGAGAGTTTTTAATGCAACACTTTGAATGATTATGCTGTCTGAGGATTATGAGAAGCTCATTCAGAGCACAACCTGGGGAATGCTTCCCTAATTCACTTCTCCTCTCCAAGTTTACAACATAAAAAAATATACCAATTAGTAAGCTATTTCTTGCAGATCACTGAAAAACAATGACAACACAAGGCACAAAATCAATAATTTTGCAAGAGCATGTTTACTCAAGATACGCTATAGTAGACTGTTATAGTGTTCTTCCTTTGTTGTTCCTCCTCTCTTATTTGACTTATATTTTGTACAACTCAAGGTGGTATACATAATATTCTCTCCTCCTACTTTCCCATAGTAACTCTTGTGAGATGGGTTGAGATAGAGTGATAGGTCACCCAGTCTGTGCCTAAAGGAGGACTAGGACTCACAGTCTCCCACTTTCTGGTCCAGCACCTTTATTGCTAGAACAAACTGGCTCCTGAAGTATCAATATAAGTACTTCCATGTATTTTATTACTCTAAGTACGAAAGCAACACATTTCTTCAAGTATATACATATCTGCAGTGCAAATTACACCAGCTGCAATTATCTATTAAGAAACCTGTCTGGTCTTTTCTATTCTGGCACAATAGCTATTATTTTGTAACATGTCCTCTTGACTAAGAAAGGGACAAGGTAGTAAATATATTAACTAAAGGTAATTCTAAAGAATGGATCAGAAAAATACTGATATATGTACCAAAGTACACAGGGTATCACATTCTTCCCTTGAAAGCATAGAAATTTACAAATGTCTAATACCATATTGCAATTTTAAGCAATATTGTGAATACCTAGAGGTTTTAACTACAACTTAATTGTGTCGTCCATCTTGATAACAGTTTGTCACCTTTTACAAACAAAAGGTTTATACTAAATAGTTTTTTTTCCTGATACTGCAATAACAGCATTAAATGTTAACATTCAAACTGCATTAAATGTTAACATTCAAACTGTATATTTCTCAAAGGAACGCATTTGACATTTTCAAATTTTCAAAGGAAAATCTTCACTAATGTTCTGCTGGACTAAATTATTTACATTTAGTCATATTTCAGATATAAATCACCAAATGATTTTTTTCTAAAATCAACTTATGATCAATGTTCTTATCAAATAGTTCCAGACATATGTACATTAAGCTTCCTAAACTTTTCACTCTTTCTACCTAGTTAACCCGTTCTTTCTTTCTGTAATATTTCCTTTTCAAAAGAATTAGATATGATTGCTGAACCCATCTCTAACTCCAGAGCCCTTACCAAGGTCTAGTAAAGTCTTAGTAAAGGCAAGTTTTAAGTACATATGCATCCGCAGCCAATTACTATACATCTTACATGGAAAAATTATTGCTTTTGCCAGTTGCAGATTTTAAATTGCTGTACTTCTATTGCCTTTATCACAGAATTGTTTTTTGTTTGCACAGCAACAACATCAGTGCTGTTACATTTTATAGAGGAAGGTGAAGGGAATGGAAAAGAATAACAAAACAAATTATGAATATTTAAGCTATTTTAACTTAAAACCGAAGAAAAACATTCAGCCACCCAGCAGAAGGACAATCCTTTTAATCAGTTGTGTATGTGTATGTAAATATGTAAACACTGTTGGGAGAAAAAAACAATGACATGTGACATATTATCCTAAGTATATTTTTTATTTTGTAGAGGTCATTCTAAAGTAACTGCTAAGAATATTGATAACACACACTGGGGATTTACTGTATTCTGCAAAGTCAAAGAGAAGTAGAAGGTATTTCCATCCTGTGACCCATTCCACTTCTCATAAAAATCCAGTCCTACCCTTCTGGACCTCTTAATTGTAATCCCCACCGATTTCAATCGAGCCCAGTCACGTCAAAAGCCGTTCCCGGGACCCACTACTGTATTTCCCCTAGATCTTTAGAGCAATTATTTTTAGCGGCGTTCCTGCCCTTGACTTCAGCGTAGGCCCCTTTTTTCCTAGGGCGCTCTGAGCAGCAAAAGCCGTGGAATATTTATTATTCCTGAACACCAAGAGACCTGACTAGTAAGGCCTCAAGAGACGTAAGCCCGTGAGAATCTGGCACGGAACGGTGAGCGCTCATCTCGCTCGCTCCTGCCACCCCACCCCACCCCACCCGCTCTCCACGCGAGGGGCGGAGGAAGAAGGAACGCTCGCTCCGGTCCGGCTCTCCCATCGGTTCCGGAGGCCCGCGCCCATCTCCCCGCATTACTGCTGGCAAAGCGCGGCAGAGGGAGAGACGACGACGCCCTCCAAGCCTTCGCCCCTTCGAAAGCCCAGGTGCCTCCTACCCTCACCGGAAAGAGGGCACGCCAAGAGGAGAAAAGCAAAAACCTCACGCACCTGCTATCCTTGGTTCCCTGCGCCGTGTTCTCTTCGGTAATCACTTGCGGCCGGGCGGGCCGACGCTGCCGCAGACCTTCAGCTTCATTCATGTTGCGATGACTGGCCCTCCGAGTTACAGAGATTAACCGCGATTGCCCAACCCCGTAGCCGAGGCTCGCTCGAAAAAGCC